GTCCCCTGCCCAGACCTGATGCCTCTGGCAGAGGTGTCAGGCCTGGGCAAGGGGCCGATCCTGCGATTGGAGATTGATGGGGGTCAATGCCTGAGGGCTCCCAGTATGTGAGAGGGGGCAGGCTGGGCTGAGGGACACTCCCCCTCACCCCCACCCAGTGCACGAATTTCGTGCACCGGGCCCCTAGTATAGTTATAGTAGGGATTTTAATATCCCATTGACATCAATTGATAGATCTTCCTGACAGAAAATCAATCAATAAAGAGATGGAGGCCTTAAATGACACAGTAGATCAGAAGGACTTAATTGATATCTTCAGAGCATTTCACACCAAGGTAGCAGAATATACATTCTTTTCAAGTGGATATGTAACATTTTCTAGGATAGACCACATGTTAGGACACAAAACAAGTCTCCATAAATTTAAAAAGACTGAGATTATATCAAGCTTCTATGACTATAATGCTATGAAACTTAAAATGAATCACAAGAAAAAAATTGAAAAAACACATAGACATGGATGAAAAATAACATGCTACTTAAACTATGAATCGGTTAATAATGAGATCAAGTAAGAAATCAAAAGGTACCTTGAGACAAATGCAAATGAGAACACAACAACTCAAATCTGTGGGGCACAGGAAAAGCAGGCCTAGCTCAAGGAAAAAAAAAAAAAAAAAAAAAAGCTCAAATAAACACTGTAACTTTACACTTAAAGAAACTGGGAAAAGTATACCAAACAAAGCCCAGAGTGAGTAGAAGGAAGGAAATAATAACAGAGCAGAAATAAGTGAGATAGAGTCTAACAATACAAAAGATGAATGAGACAAAGAGATGGTTCTTTGATAAGATAAGATTGACAAACCTTTAACCAGATTTATCAAGAAACAAAAAGAGAGAGATTAAAAAAAAGTAATGATACCAAAGAAACACAAAGGATTGTAAAAAAACAAAAAAAAGTATTATGAACAACTCTATGCCAACAAATTGGACAATCTGGGAGAAATGGATTAAGTTCCTAAAAACATACGGCATTCCAAAACTAAATCAAGAAGAATCAGAGAATCTGAACAGACAGAATACTAGTGAAATTCAAGCACTAATCAAAAATCCCCCAACAAACAAAAGCTCTGCACCTGATGACTTTACAGGTGAATTTTACCAAACATTCAAAGAAGAACTAACACCTATCCTTCTCAATTAACCCAAAAAATTCAAGAGGAGGGAAGAGGCCAGCATTATCCTAATTCCAAAACCACAAAAGGTATGACAAAGAAAGAAAATTATAGGCCAATATCCATGATGAACACAGATGTTAAAATCCTCAACAAGATATTAGTAAACTAAATCCAGCAATACATTAAAAAGATCATACACCATGACCAAGTGGGATTTATTCCAGAGATGCAAGATTGGTATATTAAACATGATACACCACATAAACAAACTGAAGGATAAAATATGATCATATCAACAGATGCATAAAAAGCAGTTGATAAAACCCAGCACCCATTTATGATAAAAACTCTCAGCAAAGTGAGAATAGAGGGAACATAGCTCAATGTAATTAAAAGCCATGTATGACAAACCCACAGCCAACATCATACTCAATGGGCAAAACCTGCAAGCATTCCCCTTAAGATTGGGAAGAAGGCAGGGATGTCCACTTTCACCACTCTTATTCAACACTAGAGGCCCGGTGCATGAACTCGTGCATGGGTGGGGTCCCTCAGCCTGGCCAGCGATTGGGGCCAATCGGCCAATCGGGGAGGGGCTGCAGGAGGTTGGCTGTGGGAGTGCAATGACCACCAGGGGACAACTCCTGCATTGAGTGTCTGCCCTCTAGTGGTCAGTGCACATCATAGCGACCGGTTCGGTCATTTAGGCTTTTATATATGTACATAGTACTGGAAGTGCTAGCCACATCAATCAGACAAGAAGAAGAAGTAAAAGACATCCAAATTCAAAAGGAGGAAGTTAATTTTACTCTTAATAAGCAAAATCTCTAATTTAAAAAAAAAGCCTTAAACAAAAATAAGCACTGTTTTAAAATTTGTAACACATACAAAAAAAAGGAAAGAAAGAAAGAAAGAGAAAAGAAAAGAAAAGAAAAGAAAAGAAAAGAAAAGGTAAGAAAAGAAAAGAAAAGAAAAGAGAAAAGACCAAAAAACCTTATCCTGTTACCAACTGGAACAATTCAACTTATGAAACTGTTATTTTACAATACATTCACTTATGGAGAATTAAGCCACGTTTTGTATGCTTCTGTAATTTCCCACCCCTCATTAAAATATAAATGGAAAGGTTTTAGTTTTTTTATTAAAAATAATATGAATTTACTTTTCTTTCATTTTTAGCATAACACAATCAAAATGTGTAGCCTTAGCCCTCTTTACATTTCAGTCTTGCCCTTTCTCTTGAACAATGTGCCCCATTTTAATTTTTTAACATATTTTTTTTGTGAGAACATTTAAATTTCTACTCTCTTAGCAAATTCCAATTGTACAATACAGTGTTATCAATTACAGTCATGTTATACACTGAGTGGCCAGATTATTATGACTGGCCAGATTATTATGACTACCCCATCAGTACAGTAAATTAG